GTTCCTGGTTTGGTTGATGGGTTTATGGATGTTAAACAGAATATGCTTTATAGCTTAAATAGATGGTTTTTTTTTTTTTACATTGGGGGGGTAATTAAAGGGAATCGAAGATGAGAGAGTAAAGACCATACCTTCTTCAGAAAGGGAAGGAGCCGCAGGTAGATGTTGGGCCTAGGAAAATGTCCTCACCTCCCAAAACTGGAAGCATGATTGTTTGCTTATAGAATGTTGCAGAGGAGAATAACTGGCTAGTAATTAGAGGAAAGGTGGAGTTTTTGAGAAGATGAGAAGGATTAGGATCCACATCTAAGCAAAAGGCCTTTAGGAACAGAGACTGCCATTGTAACTAATGAGAAGGTACAGGTGTAGGTAAGTCTGGAGGTTCTGTAGTGAGAGGAAACGATGAGTCACTGGTGACTGCAGTATTCTTGTTGTTACTAGATATTGAAAGTGGGGAGGATGGGATGATTGTGAAATTGAAGGAAAGAAGAAAAGGTGGAAAATAGGCTTTCAGAAAGCTAGATAACAAACTTATTAGGTAAACATTAAACAATTGCTGGACAGTATTGAAATTAGTATTTTAAATTAGTATTTTTGAATGTAAATTAGTGTATCACACTTGTGTATTTTACTTTAAGTTTTTCCTGCTGTTTTGGTGACTTTACAAACTTTGTAAATAAATATGCTTAAAATGCTTTAATAAAATTTAGTATTTTGCCTTACTATTCTATTTATTAGAATAAAGAAACAGTTCTTCAGATTAGGTGCTAGGGTTCCATCTTTGTGACTGGATGACATGGAACAGGGTACCATTGATTTTATAAGCTCTAATTCCTTTTGAAGCTTTTTTGACTTTTTAATTCAAATTTCAGTTACTTTCCTATGTACTTTAATTCCAGGATAGGGATTTGAAATCTTAAAAAATTTTGCTATACAATTAGACTTACTAAAAATGAGCTTATGCCTCAAGCTTAGCAGCTACTTAACATGTATCTTGACTTAGAAAATGAAAACCAATTAATTAAATATCAGTTAATTAGGAATGCTTATTATGCTATCCAGGATTTTATAAAGTTTCTTATAATATAGATTATTTCATGAAAACCTCAGCCCTTTAAAATTTAAGCATTAACCCAAAGGTTTAAATTTTACGTTACAAATAATTGATACTCAAATTGCTCATCAGTTAGCTAAAGGAAACCACTCAGAATGAAAGTCGGAGTAGTATTTTCAGAGGTTTTATTTGATTTGTCTGCCTTTCATTTTCTTCATTTCTCAGGAGATTCTGTGATGCATGGTTATGTAATAGCATATTCTAAAACTTTTAAATGAAAATTTCTTTAAAATATTCCATGTTGACTTATTAATATATTTTGGTAATTTTAATATTATTATTCACATGTTATTAAATTTAGTTTCTATTATTGAGGAATGGGGATTTTTAAATCATATATCATGAAGAGAACATCAGTCTATTTATCTGAAGCTTTGAATTAAAGCATAGTCAAGAAATTCGATGATGCTGATGGTCTTCTAGGATTTTAACTGGAAGTAGGTTGTGGGGATACATTTTGAAGCATTTTCAGTTTCCTCTCGTGGCAGCAGCATTCATTTTCTCCACTGTGCTGGAAGTGCTCAAAAGGACAACCTGGCAAATTCCCTTCCCAGTTGAAACACCAAGGGACTCTAGTGGTGGTTGTGGTAGGCACAGGCTTCCACATCTTCCATCTACTGGAATTATTTTTTAGAATTGAGCATTTGGAGACATGATTAGATAATATGTCTTTTTAAATCTCATAAATTACTGTATAACATGACAATGGTATTTTATTAATTTTTGAGTTATCAAAATGAAGAAAGGTCTAAATTTTTGTGAATGTGTTACAAATGGTATGTCTGGTGTGTGTGTAAATGTGTATGTATAAGCAGAGAGAGAGAAGACTAAGATACTGCTTTAAATATTTTCAAGGTTTCTGAAGCATTTGAACTTACCTTATATGCTTACCTTCCTATATTTGTTTCTTTTATTAGCTCACAAAATGAAAGATACTTTTGACCCTATTTGTCAGAATTTTTTGTTGTTGTTGGGGGTAAAGAGCAAAATTCCTTTTGTTACAATATCAAGCCAGCTTTCTGGCCCAGCATAGTGCCACACTTCTAGCCTGGTAAATTTTGTGTAAATGATATGAACTTTAGGTAATATATTGCAAGTATATACTGTATACTACTTATTTTCTGTTACTGTGACTACATTATTATGAGGCATTAAAGACAGAATCAAATGTTTAAGCAAAATATGTAGCCAAGAATTCCTCGTATGGTAAAAGAGTATTAATGAGTGTTGTAAGTTACTTATATCAGACATAATATTTATTTCTTATACTGAATCATTTTCACCAGCATATTAGAGTTTTATGTTCTGTGTCCAAGTACAGAGTAGTAACTGAGTCATTTTGATGTCTGTATAATAGGAAAAAGAGAAGCATTTTTTGTAGGAGTACATTAGAAATAACAAAAATTTCCAAGAACTATTCCAGGCTTAATCCCCAAATTATTTATTTATTAAAAGATTGTTTTTCAAGGATTTATTCTTAATATTTGCAACACAAATAGAATACCTATTAAGTGCTAAGCATTTATTGCAAAGGGGTGAAGCTACAATGATGAGAGACAGCACTATATGCCTTTGGAAAACTCTCAGGGAAGAGACAGGTGAGTCACCAGAAAGGTTATAAAACAGTATGGTGACTGCTTTCATAAAGGTATAAACAAAGAATTGTTGGTTAGGAATTCTTGATTTTGTATTTTAAATCCATTTTGGGTTTCGTTTTTCTTTGGACCTAAGTGTAATGCATGAAAGGGAAATATCCACTATCTTTATATATTAGGTATTAAACCTTCAACAAATTAAGCATGTTTTGTTACGCTGATTTCTCTGATTTTACTAGACAGACAGTATTAGATACTAAATCTTATAAACCTGTTATTTTTGAAGTGTTGCTTAGGACCTGAGTTTAAAGAAACATGTATGGGTTTAGGTGTATAAAGAGATACTAATTCTGTGTCTTTAAAATGTGTTGATTCTTATATGTGGGCATCATCTACATCTCTTTCATAAATGTTTTTATCCCCATAGTTAAATTTGCACATTAGAATGAATAAAATTCTAATTAGAACTGCTCTTGCAATATATATTATTGTATAATATTTTTCTTCTTAAAATCCAAAAACTAAAATTCATCTTTGTCAGAATTATGCTCTTATAATTAACCTCCTTTTGATATACTAAGCACTATTTTCTGTTAAATAAAATAAATATAAATAAAATCCTGCCAGTATAATTTTCTTAGTTATAAATTCATAAAGTACCTTTTGTTTAGTCATTGCAACCTTAACTTTTGTTGCTCATGTGTTACAGTTAATTCTTCTCAGTGTGATCTTTGTGTCCATACTTTAATGTATGAGTTGTGTAATTTAACAGTATTGTCTGTGGCTTTTAGGTTTTACATCATGCTTACAATGACACAGAGATTTTTGTAAAAATTTCTCTCATGATTCTTCCAGTACTTTTATTGTTTTAGAAATGGTGGTGGATGCACATGCATTTTTAAAATGTAGTTTTAGAATTTGCTAACAGGTAAATAATGACATAGAGATTTAACCTCCTTCCCTCCAGATGAATACTCAGTTGTCCTAATGTCATTTACGGAATAATTCTTTTTTCTGTTGTTTTGAAATGCTGCTTTTTTCTCTTCCTTGGTTTTTTTTTTTTTTTAAGATTTAATTTATTTGACAGAGATCCCAAGTAGGCAGAGAGGCAGGCAGAGAGAGAAGGAAGCAGGCTTCCCTGCTGAGCAGAGAACCCAATGTGGGGCTCGATCCCAGGTCCCTGATCATCACCTGAGCCAAAGGCAGAGGCTTAACCCATTGAGCCACCCAAGCACCCCCCTTCTTTTTTTTTTTTTTAATCTATACAATTGGTTTGTTTGTCCCTGTTCCTGTGAGCTTATTTTTCTAGTGAGAGAAAGACTAACAATGAACAAGAAAATGATAAGTAGAAGTAAGTTCTGTAATGAAAATAAGCAGATTTATGTGGTTAGTGACTGGACAGCTACTTAAAATGAGTGGTTAAGACAGGCCTTTCTGAGGAGCTGAAGCTGACATTGACTTAGACCTGAATATCGAGGAGGGAATAGCTGTGCAAAAATCTGTTGAAAGAACATTTCAGGTAGAGGAAATGGCCCCAAGGTGGAAATGATCTCCAGGTGTTCCAAAGGTAGAAAGCATAATAAGAATACAGTAGATAGGGGGAAGAATGGTGAGAGGTGAGAGTTGGAGAAGAGGGCCAAAGAGAAAGCATGTTATGATGTAGGGATTTATAGGCCAGGCTGAAGAATTTGGACTTCAGCTGTGACGGGAAACTACTCAAGAGCAGTGTTTATTTTTATTACTTATTTATTCATTTTTAAGAGAGATATTGAGCATACATGAGCAGGAATGAGGGTGTCAGGGTGTGGGGAGAGGCATGGGGGAGAGAGAATCTTAAATAGGTTCCACGAGGAGCCCAGTGCGGGGCTCAGTCTCACAACCCTGAGATCATGACCTAGATGAAATCAACAGTTAGACGCTTACCTGACTGAGCCATGTAGGCACCCTCAAGAGCAGTGTTTAAAAATTAAAATAGTCTAGAATAAATTTTTCTTATTTTTTTCTGCACGAAGAGGAAATACAGGAACATAGGTGATTTGTATGTCAAATAAATAGGTTCTTATGTAATTGGGAGCTATTTCTACATACCTATGACCCTGTAACAAATTTGCTTACCTTTTAAACAACTTTGCAGTTAAAGAAATCAGACTTTTAGAATCATGTAAGTGCCAAGGGTTTAGAACTCAAAGAATAAAGAATCTGTTTGCCCTAAATAGAACTCTTTTTAGAGAACAATTTTATAATGTGTTTCAAAATAATATTTTTTTCTTCCCTTAAAATGTTTGTATTAGGGAACAAACATCCTTGGAAGAGGGAGAGATTCCTTGGTTACAGTACAATGAAGTCAATGAAAGCAGCAGTGATGAGGGTAATGAGCCTGCCAATGAATTTGCACAGCCAGAAGCTTTTATGCTGGATGGGAACAATAACCTTGAGGATGACTCCAGTGTGAGTGAAGACTTAGATGTGGACTGGAGGTATGTAACACATGTTATTACCATGATTAATTGTTAATTGAGTAGAATTTGTTCATGATTCTAAATTATGAAAGCTGTGTCTCGGATCTCTCAGATGTGTTCACATTTTCCCATCTGTCAGTCTTCTTCAGGGCTCATTCTGATGTTACTTCCTACATAGACTCCCTCCTACTTACTCCAGGTAGTGACCTCTTTAACTCTTTGACATTTAACTCTCTTGAAGCCCACCTTATAGCCTAGTTGTTTATAAACTCCTGGTTTGAGGTTTCTAACTTTTAAATGTAGCACTTTATATAATCCTTTAAAAAAAAAAAGAGTCCTTAATAAATACTACTTGAAGAATTTCAAAACCTGTGATTAAATCAGAAGAATCATAAGAATATAGTTATCCTTCTCTGTATGTAAAATATGGAAAAATAGTTGTACCTTCCCAGAAATGCTGAAAGCATTATTTACTTTATAATAATGAACTTTAAATAGAAGGAGCCTGTAAATTAAGTGGATTATAGAATTGTTATTTTTCATGATGTAATGGTCAGAATTTAATTGGTTTGGCTTACAGTTAGATTTATCTTTCAAATGTGCAGGAGGCCTCTGGAAGCAACTAGTTTTGAGATGTAGAAAGGATATACAGTCCAACTAATCTCTTGTTACTTTTTCTGAAGAAAATATGGCTTGGTACTACCTTTGTTTCCATCTATACACAGATACATTTTTAAGAATTTGTTTTCTTTTTTTTTCTAGCTAAAATTCCATTACAGAAAATTTAGAAGAATAAAGATACAAAAAACTCATTACTCAAAAACTCATAACTGCAGACCTCTAGAATTTACGTTTTTGAGTCCTCCTGTGTATTTTTAGTGTCTCTTTCTGTGTGTATAGTTACTTCTTGTACTTCTTCACATTGTTCCAGATAGGAAACTAAGCATCTCCTTGAAATCCTTACCATTTCCTATTCTCACTTCCCAGGGGGCAAAAAAATTCTATGTGCAGAGCAGACTTTCGTTAACCATTTTGTGAAGGTAGGAAGTAGTGTTTCCATCACAGCCACACAAACAATTTATAATTTCATTTTGAACATTCCTGGCTCCAAAACCCATGTTCTGGCTTCCCAAACTTTATGGAAAAGCAGTGACTCACCTGGTCCTGGTCTTACTGATCCTGGTGTTCTCATCTCCCCTCCCCCATGCCTGCCTGTTACCCTCTTACTGAACTCTCCTTTATGCAAAGTCGTTTCTCATAATGCTCAGCAGATGACAGAATTGTTGATTTAGTTAGCATCATCTGTGCATGTTGAGAGGCAATTACAGTTTAATATGAAGAAATGTTTTCTTTTGCACATTTTCAAATTTTTATGAAAATAATTTTTTTACAGCTCCATTATGTAGATGCTCTACTCTATAGTTGCACTAAAATTTAATTGATCATTTCTCTATTGAAATAGTGCAGTAAACCTTTCCTCTCATATAACTTGTTCTGTACTTCAGGTTATTTCTTTAGGGCTGCTTAGTAGAGGTAACATTACTGAGATAAGTGATATTTATTAAGATCTTGATACACATTTTAAATAACTTTCAAAACACATAAAAATTTAAAGAAATAATTGAGGTCTTTCTTGAATATAATTTTTAAAGTTGAAAACTTTTTATTTTGGGTTCTAATTCATTGATGATCTTTCCAGACACAGCTGTTGTGTTAAGATTTTAGAGATGTTGCTGATTGTTCCCAGATTGTTCCCAGATTCAGGGTAGTTGCGCTTTTTGGTTTTTTGTTTTGTGTTGTGTTGTGTTGTGTTTTGTTTTGTTTTGTTTTGTTTTAAATATGGAAAGCATTTTGACTTTGATTTTTAAGACAAAATTCTGAAGGTTACTCTTTTGAATTTTATGTAGATTTATCAATACCTCATTATTTGCTTATGTGGTACTATGCTAATTTATGTGGCAATCACTGCAAATTGATAAAGTGAAAATATGATTTGATTTTCGTACTAAAATAATGTCATTTTGATAACTAAAAGGAAAACTCATGGCAAACAGCAGCAATTCTTATCTCTAAAGCCAAAATTTAACATATTTTTTTTTTGTTGTTCCACCAGAACTTAAAAAAAGTTCAAGCTTTTTGATTCTCTGTTTTAGTTTAAAAGAAAATTTAAAAAATACTCTATCAAAGTTTATTTGTTTTGATGATGTCACAGAAATGTTGTAGAATACCCAGAGAGTATATAAACTAGCGTGGTGGGAGTTGTTTCGGATTTAGACAAATTCCAGCTATCATTTATTTATTTATTTATTTATTTATTTATTTTAATTTTATTTATTTATTTGACAGACAGAGATCACAAGCAGGCAGAGAGGCAGGCAGAGAGACAGGAGGAAGCAGGCTCCCTGCTGAGCAGAGAGCCCAATGCGGGACTCGATCCCAGGACTCCGAGATCATGACCTGAGCCGAAGGCAGCGGCCCAACCCACTGAGCCACCCAGGCGCCCCTCATTTATTTATTTTTTGATAACTACTTAACCTCTCTATCTTCCTATAAGAAACTAGGGTTATAATTATTAACCTAATATGATTGTGGGAAATTAATTCCCTGTGGATGTGACCATGAATTTTTTAAACCAGTTTGAAATTACTTCAAACTTATAGAAAAGTGACAAAAATAATAACAAAGAATTTCCATATACTCTTCACTAATATTCCCTAAATGTTAACATTGACCACATTTGTGTTATCATTTTCTCTTTCCTTTCTTTCTCTGTGTTTGTGGTATTTCCCCCCCCCATTTATGAGTAAGTTATCTCGTTACCCATAATCTAGAATGAAGTCTTGAAGAACAAGAACAATTTCTTACGTTCGAAAGAAAATCTTTAAAATCAGGAAATTCATACTGATAACAATACTGTTCACTAATCTGCAGACGTTGTTCAAATGTCTGTAGTTGTCCTACTAATGCCATTAGAGAATTTTTTTCTAGTCCAACCAAGACCACTCATTGTTCTTGTGTAACATGTTTCTTCACTTTTAATCTAGAACATTTCCTCAGTTTTTCTTTGTCTTTCATAACTTTGACATTTTTGAAAAGTACAGGCTGTTTATTTTGTAGAATGTCTCTTAGTTTAGATTTGATGCCATGATTAGGTTCGAGTTACAGATTTTCAGCCAAACTACCAAAGAAATGACATTTTGTTTTTCTTAGTTCATATCAGAAGGCACAAAGTGTCCCACTACTGGTGATGCTAATTCTGATCAGTTGGTTAAGGTGTTATCTTTCAGGTTTCTTCACTGTACAGTTGCCATATTTTTAAATAAATAATTGGCCTCTAGAGGGAAAATACTTTGAGACTAGGTAAATAACCTGTTTCTTCTCACACTATCAAATTTCCATCTACTAGTTTTAGTATCATTAGTGATTTTTATCTGAAAACACTTAATTACCATGGTGATTGGCAGATGAATACTAGAATTTTTAATACTAGCTGATTATTTTGCAGTGACCAAATTTACAAGCAGATATTCTGCTTTGAATGTCTAGCTTTGTTTTACTCTAAAGAAGAAAAGAATTAGCAGATAGTTGACTCTAGCCATTTGAAGGACTTTTCTGCAAAGGAAAAGTAGACATAATTTGTGTTGCTTCGGCAGGCAGAACTAGAGCACTTACTTCACATGAGTCAAATTTCTGATAGGGTTCTTCCACATGGAGGAAATAGTTTTGCTGTTTCTTGAATGCCTTCTCTGGTGCGATCTCTGTGCCAGGCATGTGTATGCATTGACTCAATTTGTTTTATAGATGAAGAAATAGAGTAACAGTTAAATAAAATGTTCACATTGTCTAACTCTGAGTTAAATGTGGAGTTAAATCCCTATTTTATTGACTCCGGGGCTCTTTGTCTTTGCACTGTATCTCACTCACTGCTAGGTGAAGGAGTTCTAGTGTTCCAGGGGAGGTTGGATTCACTAACTTCTAGTTTTAATTTTAAAATCTGTGATTACATGAGAATGATTCTTCGTACTATGTGGTCTCTGCTAGTTTTTAAATACTACTGAGGTTTCATCTTCGTAAGAATATGTTTGTATCTTTTGGCAATAGATTTGTAATTTTAATGATGGCATGAAAGTTGACATCAAAATTATTTTGAGCTAACTTGTATAATTGGATATTCCTGACTGTATTTGACTTCTCATAGGAACACAGAAGTCAATGGAAGTTTGCCTTTAGGTAGACAAAATAAGCTCAGTTTTGGAGATACTGGATTTGAGGTGACAGGAGTTAATCAAGTTAAAGTGCCCCTCAGAAAACTAAAAATGTAGGTCAAGAGCTGAAGAGGGTTTGGAATTAGATGGAGGTTTAGGAATTAACCTACAGAGAGGATAACTGAGGAAATGGACTTTAATATAATTTCCAAGGAGGCAAGATTAGAAAGAAGAGGACTGAGGATATACTGTGGTTTCCAAATTTTGAAGTATATGGTATTTCCAAGACTAGAGGAAAAGGAGGAATCTATGTATGTCTAGGGGTGGAGGAAGGAGATTAGGACCAGAATAAAACTTACTTTCTACAGGGAGATTATAGTCCTTTAGTTTAAGGGGGGGGGCAGTTAAGAGCTAAATATTTTTTAGTCTGAATAATGACAGAGGAGGCCTACTTCTCAGGAAAATAGAAGAGAGATTAAAGAGAGAGACTTGAGAAAATAAAATATTTTTTTAAGGCCTCAGTAATCAAGCAATAAAAGGTGAGAAAAGAAAAAGAGGCTTTGACTATGATAGAATTGAAATAAATGCAGTAACTGTTTTTACCATAAGCTCGTGTAAATTTAGGTTGGCAGTTCAAAGGAACAGAAGGGGAAATATATGGGAAAGATAGGAGGGAAAAGTACTACCTTTATTCCTGCCCTAAGCTATCCCTGGAGTTAGAACTAGAAACATAAGAATTTTCCTATAAATTTTATGTCATGAATATGGCAGCTTATTGGGAGAGATTGTGGTATTCTAACTTCTTATGCTTAGTATTTTACTTTTCTGTTGGGTTCTTCCCGCCCCTTATCACACAAGATTTCTATTAAAGTATTTTGTTTATTTTAAAATATTTTTATATTAAAATATCATTAAAATATTTAATGTTTTCTGCTTACACTATTGGTGTGCTAATATAATTATGTCTTCATAAAGATTTCCCAAATCATGTTTGTATTTTTTTTTCCCAGCCTGTTTGACGGTTTTGCAGATGGACTAGGAGTTGCTGAAGCGATTTCTTATGTGGATCCTCAGTTCCTCACCTACATGGCATTGGAAGAACGCTTAGCCCAGGCTATGGAGGTATTTTAGTGACTCACACTGATGCTCATATTTTAAGTTGGTGGGATGCAAAATAATAAAAATTGAAGGTTTTTATAACTGTTTTTAGGAAAAGGTGAATAGTTTTTCGTCAATAACACTTACTGAATAGTGATTGCCACTAGTATATGTACATAAATTACTCTAGACATTGTGCCAATTTGCCTGTAATTTGCAGTATTTCCTAGTTAGTGCAGAATAGAAAATGTTTTGCTTACATTTAGAAAATACACTTTTCCTTTATTGAATTATCTGGGTTTGTGAATCTGAATATTTTATACACACACACAGGTATATTTGTGAAATGAAATTGACAATCTCTAAGGATATATTACAAATCACTTCTCTTTTTTTGTCCACGTGGCTTCTAATGCCACTTAACAAAGTTAGAAATTTTACTCCCATTATCTCCATTCACGTATATACTTAAATAAGTGTGGCATATAATTTTGTCTTGCCTTCTTTTCCTTATTTGATAAAACACAAATACTTACTTGTAATTGTATTTGCATAAGGTCAGAAGCCCAAACTTTTCATGTTTGGAAACTTCCACTGCACTAGTGGATTCCATTATTAAAAGTCTTTTTTCAAATTACTGTTTCTGAAGTGATTTCCAAAGTAGAAAAATAATAATGTGAATCATTCAAAAGTGAGAGAACAAAAATGAATGAGAAAACTTCCAGAGACATAACAGCATCTTATCTTGAAATTTTCTGAGGTTAGAAAGTCCAATTTAGACTCATAAATTAGACAGTAGGTAAGTAGGTGGTTGGGTAGATAGACCGACCTATCTATCTACACATACACACACTTAAGATAGGTCTGTTTAGGCATCACTTTTTTTTTTTTACATCTTGTGTAATCTTCCATAGAGATCATTGATCAGTTATATGTTTTGTTTGGTATCTCTTTTTTTTTAAAGTAACCATAGCAGGAATACTGTGTACTAGGAGAAAAGTCAGAAAGAACATCATAAGACAAGACGCTTAGGACTTTTTGCAGATTATTTCTTGCCTTACTAGAGTCCGACACATGAAATAGTGGCACAGTGTGATAGCTTGTATCAGAAATAGAATATGTAAAGATCAAGGATCACTAACTTCCTTGAGTTCAGTAATTTTAAGTGACTACAATGGAATATATATATCCTAGAGTCTGGTTTCATAGTTCTTAAAAACAGTTTTTCCCATTAGTATGCTAGTGGTTTATGATTTCCTGCAGTATAGAGATATCTTTAAAAAGAAATCTTGAGAATTAAAATAGAAGTTTTATTATTTGTTAATAGTAGGAAGTGTGACATTTGAGTGGCTTCTCGAAAGAAGCAGCAGAGAGATTGGTCATTCTGTGTAGAAGCATTAGCAGAGCGGGCATTAAGAAGAAGCATAGTGTGTCCAGGGAACTTACAGTCTCCACAGTGTTGGCTAATGCTCTTAGGGAACCCAGTGACAGGTCATTCCGACCTATCTGTCCTCCTGCTTCTGACTGATGGTCTTAAGTGTCTCCTTTCACTACAGTTTAACAGCTTCCTCAGCTTTAATGCTCAGCTTTATTTTATTTGAATTCAGTTGACAATGAATACAGTTCAGTCTTCTTACCATTCTAGAAATCTTTCTTTTTCTATGTCTAGTATTCAGTTATTTAATCATGAAATAATTTATCATTTATATTATTATAAATTATAATAATTTATCTGAAATAATTTATAATTTATGATTTTTCCTTTTAAATTTAACGACGGTCTTTAAATGAGACAACAACAACTAAAAACACAAACTGTGTGCTTTTATTTGTTTTTTTCTCAAGCAACCTGATCTCTTTGCGGCACTGGTTGTTTTCATTTCTGTTATTTTCCTAGTACCAGACTGATCTGTTTTTCCAGATTGAGGCTTTTGGTGAAAATATTGACAATAAACATGTGTCTCCTATCTTGTCTCAAATTTGGCTGTGAACAGGATGAAATATTTAAGATCTTTAACTGTTTGATACAATGGATAATAAAGCTTTTTATTCCAAACCAGTTTTGGAAAAAAAAAATATTTCCCTTTGCACATTTATGTTGACATCTAAAATTTTTTAGCATAAACTCTAAACAATATTGTTTACCCTATCATATCTTTTTGCAATAAAAACATGTTCAAGATGTTTGGGTGGCTCAGTGGGTTAAAGCCTCTGCCTTCGGCTCAGGTCGTGATCCCAGGGTCCTGGGATCAAGCCCCAAATCGTGCTCTATGCTTAGCAGGGAGCCTGCTTCCGCCTGTCTCTCTGCCTGCCTCTCTGCCTACTTGTGATTTCTGTCTGTCAAATAAATAAATAAAATCTTTTAAAAAAAAAAGAATTTAAATACACAAAATTGGTTTAGATTGAGTTAAAATTGATTGTTGCATCCAGCTGATCAAAAACAAATTTATAAATGTTGATAAATATTGAAACATAATGTAAAATTTTACCAGAAATGTATTTCTTAATTTCCTTCCTTATTAAATTTTATGTAGTCCTAAAATGAGATATAGTTCAACACCAGTTTTGTTTTTCATCTTTATGAATATAAGCTTGAGAAACCTCGTTCACTTAATAAATTGGTGGGAATGGAAGGAGTTTATCATAGTAATGTCATTTAGTTTTTCTGAGCAATTTGCCAGAGTCACATCAACTTGACAGATTATCTGGATCCTCCAGTTTTCTTGAAAGCAGGTGACTGGAGCCTACCTACAAAAATGTTACTCATGGGGCACCTGGGTGGCTCAGTGGTTTAAAACCTCTGCCTTTGGCTCAGGTCATGATCCCAGGGTCCTGGGATAGAGCCCCGCATCGAGCTCTCTGCTCAACAGGGAACCTGCTTCCTCCTCTCTCTCTCTTTCTCTCTCTGCCTGTCTCTCTGCCTACTTGTGATCTGTCTGTCAAAAAAAAAAAAAAAAAAAAATGTTACTCAGTCATTACTTCAGTTTGACCCCAGTATTTCATATTGCCCCTTTGAATGGGTAAGAAGTATGCTTTTATTTATAAGGTGAGAGAAGATTAATATAAAAAGGAATATGGGAATGTAGAACCAGCAATGATACTTTGACTGCAGGTACATTTTTAGGCAGATCGGTTTAAGGAAAGGTTATGAAAGAAAGTTAATTGAATTGAAATTGAGTCTCTTAAGACTCTCCATGCCCATGGGCCCCTGGAAAGTCTTTACACACTTAGAGAGCACCTCATATATACAGCGTTATCAGCCTTAATAAAGTAGTTCATGAGGAAGAGCACGTGCTTTTGAGTTAGATGGATTGATTTAGGCTGTGTGACCTTGCACCATTTATTTAACCTCCTCAAGTTTCGGGACCTCATCTACAAAATGGGAATAATAAAATTTACTTTATGGATTATTTCGACATTATGTTACACATAGTAAAATAGCTGGTGCAGTGTAAGTTCTCAGTAAATGGCTGTATTGAAAATTTATTCAAATCAGTCAAACAGGTGGTAATCCTCTGGCAAATCTGGATCCAATTATCATTCAAAAATCAGTATTAAATCACTTGTTATAAATCTTCATTCTTTCAAAACTAAATAGTGTTTTATTCCATAAAAAACAGATTTTGTACTGGCAAAGGATTATGCTACTTTAAACCTAAGTATATTCCAGTTGTGCTGTTTAGTCTATTTTGTTGTCTTTCTGACGTTTGGACTAACTTACAAAAATATATTATACTGTTTGAGGTGTAGATAGATTTTTGTATTTTTATGGATTTTCTTAGCAGTGGTTTTAAAGGAGTCTCTCTTACTCTTGTTACTTATAAGTGACTCCAGATCACCTTAAGTATTTGTCAGTACCAAGCCAATAAATTATTTTTACATATGTGAAATTCCAGGTATGTATTAGCACTGCAGATGGGCGGATAATCATCATAAAGGAATAATGAACCTATAGAGACAAACATGTATCAAAGCACAAGTATCTTACCAAAAATGGAACTTGCTTTAAATAGTACCGCCCCCCCTTTTTTAAAAACGTGTGGTACTATTACATATGAATTCTTGCATTCTGTCTTGAGAAGTATGCAGGGAATTGGTGGAGATTCATGATTATAGTTATATGAGAGAGAAGGAACAAGTAATAGGCTATTACTTTCCATTTTCTGTTTCCTGATGGGGAAGTTTAATATAAAGAATTGTTAACTATAATTGGTGATTAGAGTAATAAGGATTTACTTAGTAAGAAATAAAGATACTTCTAAAGAATATAGAAAAAGCACATATAAGGAATGTCCACCACATGTCAGGCTCAGATCACCTAAGAAAGAGTCCCCACTCCACTCCAGGGCTAGGATTCAAACTTTGATGGAGTTGGCACAGCTGTGACTTGCTGAATGGCAGAGAAGTCTAGTGCTGCACTGGCAGAACTTGCTGGAAATCAGCCCTGGGATGCTGCCGGGGAAGGCTATTTATAGGGAGATATCTAACTGGAAGCAGTCCGCTACAGAACTGTCCAAGGTGTTTGCTGGGGGAGCTGCTGGCCCCTGAGTGCTGCTGGCAGCATGTATTACAAGAGCTAGATGCTGGAGAAGCCAAAGTCTGCTGCTGGAGAGAACCACGCATGCCATGGAAACCTGTGTCAAGTAGACACACTGGGATTAGAAGCAGAGCCCTTTTCCTTCTGCAGTGTCTCTGCAGCTTCTTCTGTGAACAAAGCTTAATTAACAGTGTGACAGCTATCAGGAAAATACTTAAATAGCCCAAATCCGTTTTCACAGAGCTGACAAAAACAGTGAACTTGGATTTGAGGAGCAGTAATAACTGGAGAACAGTCCAGTTGGATCCCATTACACCTTTCTACGTGCATTTGAGCTCCTTTCAACAGCAGTGCAACTATTCCACCTAACGAGATACACCTATTCTTAAAATGGAGAGGTTTTCACCCTTTCTCAAGAATGAACAGATGAGCAGACTCCCAAGGGTCATTATATCCATCACTAAATATTAATTACTCTACAAATTCG